CATGCCGCTGACTAATGGGATCTTTCTCCTGGAAAATGGTAACATGAAGTCACTGTCCCCTCAGAAGTGCATTGCAGGCTGCCTGGGTGCTGCCCCTGAAGGCTATTCCTGTAAAACTACCCTGTACATCACCACCACACCGCACCTTCTGAATAGGACATGAAAACTCCAGAAGAAAAAAAATTAACTGATTTGTAATAGATTTAATTATACTTGACAATTATTGATGGGCAAAAGGAGACATTTAGTTGAATTATACTGAGATAGGTGAGTTTGTTAAGCATGATTCACACTGCTCTATGAATATAGATCTATAGTGTTTAAACTATTATCCTAAAGTGTTAGGTCTCAGAAACAAGTGGCTAATGTAGGTGCCTATTAACATATCAGAATGGAAGGTAGTCAGCTCTCCCAGCATCCCTCAGTGCCTGTGGCTCCTCCCAGCTCTCCCAGCATCCCTCAGCTCCTGTGGCTCCTCCCAGCTCTCCCAGCATCCCTCAGCACCTGTGGCTCCTCCCAGCTCTCCCAGCATCCCTCAGCGCCTGTGGCTCCTCCCAGCTCTCCCAGCATCCCTCAGCTCCTGTGGCTCCTCCCAGCACTCCCAGCATCCCTCAGCGCCTGTGGCTCCTCCCAGCACTTCTTATCCTAAACCCCTCCCAGGAGCTGGGTTTCGCTTCCCTTCCTCCAGCCTGATCCCTCCAGCCATTTTGGTCTCTTGATCTCTTGGCTTGGACTGCCTCTCTAGATTGCTGCTCCTCTCTTAACTCTCCCTCCCCTTTTCTCCTCTCATGTTTTTTGGGGGGCACAGGTCTAGCCATGTTCAGCTTGGACTTCTCTCTGCCTGCTTTCCCCTTATATCTACAATAAAAGTCTTCTCCATACTTCCAAGAGCATTTTTTTCATTCATGAAGAGATTTATTTTGGTCAGAAAAGTACAAAATGGAGACTGGAGAAATGGAGCACTGGCTCCAGAGGTCCTGAGTTCAATTCCCAGCAATCACATGTGGCTCACAACCATCTCTAGTGGGATCTGATGCCCCCTTCTGACATAAAGGTGTACCTAGAACACTCATAAGCATAAATAAATAATTTTCCTAAAAGAGAAAGTAAAACCAAGCTAAAACTCAGATAGCCGCCTCCATAGGAAGTCAGACCGGAGCCTAAGACCACCCAGTGGCACCTCACTTAAATTACAAGAATAGTGCTTCAGTGGCGCTAACATCTAGACTTCCCCTTGCAGACCCCAATCTATCACACAGTGACAAAACACTTTTCTCCTCTGCTTCTGGCCATGGGTGAAATGTACCAAAAGGCAAGACAAGCAGGTAAAATCACACCCTGCTGGCTGTCACCGAGCAAGGGCTGAGCCTGGACATGCTTTTCATATGCACGCTGACCAGAGTCTATAGCTGCAGTCACTAACTATGGAACACCAAACCAATACTTCTTTGGACCCAAATCACCCCAGGGCTAATTACAAGGGAACTAAATGTCGGCTGCCCCAAGGACTAAATGTCGCCTCCCTACCTTAGCTTTATTACCAGACAGCGCTACTGAATGCTCACTATGAGCCACATCCCGTATGATAATTTACATGAATTTTCTCCTTACTTTTCTTCATCCTCTAGAGGAGACTCAGTGTTTATAGTGATTTCATAGGTGAGGAAACAGGGGCTCAGTAAAGTAAGAAACGTGCCCAAACTCACAGAGTGTGGAATCAGCACTTGGGTCCAGGTTGCATGTGCCACCTTGACTTCCAGACTGCTAACCCTTAGATCTACAACCCCTTCTCAGTGAGTTCATCACACACACACACACACACACACACACACACTCACCCCTCCTACACCCGTCTGGCCCTAAAATGCTTAAAATCAAACCAAGAATCCAGTCCTCTACTTGTCTACATAACTCCCAGCCATGGTCTGGCTCCGACTCCTGGTGATCAAGAAAAGGGTGGTCAAGACTGAAGGGTTTTGCACAACACCCACTCGCCTCTCCTTTTGCTGGGCTCTGCCTACCTAACCCCATAAAGACTCCAAAGCTCTTCCCAGGATTCCCAACCACCATGGCTGTTGTAAAGGCTACAAAAAGGTTCACAGGACATTTACTGAGGGCCAGACACCACCAGAGTTCAGATTCAAAGACATTAGTTATCTTGCTACTGTCTTCCACAGAGGCCCTTGATTTATTGTCTGGGTGGATTTATTCATAGCTTTGGAGCAGAAGGCATACACCAGAAAAGGTGATGTGCCTGCACTTGTAGTGCTCCAGTCCTTGTCAATCAAAGCAAAGTAACTGGACCCATCCCAAAATGTAACGATAAAGCATATTAACGGCTTAGAAGAAGAAAGTGCTCCCTAGCTGGTGACTATCATAATTTTCTTCCTTTCTCATCTAGGATGTGCTTCCCAAATTTAACACGTGCTCTATTTCTACCCAAGGCAAATGGCAACGTGTTCAATCCCAGACACACAACCAGCCTGGCTGAGCATCATCTACACTCCAAGCCTAATGGTGAGTACTGAGAATGCTCCCAAAGGAAACAGCATAGAAATGGCTCATTGCCATGCTACACTGCAAATCCAATGGGAAGGGCCAGCTGGGCAGGTCTCAGTGGGTCCGAGGGCCATGACAAAAAGTTTGAACTGGAAACTGAGGTAGGAGAGGCTACTTAGAGGCTCTCAGCAGAGGACTCAAGTGCAACGGTCAACATTTTAGACAGAGACAACTCATAAGAAAGGAGAAAGGTGTTAGGGAGGGTATGAATAGCCCAGTCAAGAAAGGTACCCTAGACAACACAGTGTAAGAGAGAGGGAGAAGGGGGGATGGAGGGCTGTTGAGATGAAGGGTAAGAGTTTGCATTGCTCTTGCTGAAGACTTTGGTTCCCTGTACCCACTGGCAACTCATAGGATCTGTAACTCCAGCTCCTGGGGATCCAACGCCCTCTACTGGACTCTGCCGGCACAGCACTCATGTGCATAGATGCCTGCACACAGACACAGGCATATACACATACTTTAAAAAGGAAAATAAGCCAGGCGGTGGTGGCCGCACGCCTTTAATCCCAGCACTTGGGAGGCAGAGGCAGGTGGATCTCTGTGAGTTCGAGGCCAGGCTGCACCGACAGCCTCCAAAACAATACAGAGAAACCCTGTCTCATAAAACCATAAAAAAAGTAAAATAAATGTTTTAAAAATTGATGGATTTTGGTGTCCCTATAAAACAAATACCAAATGCATTGATGCTGGACACTGTATAGTCCCTCGATGTTTAGGGAGAGGACGTGACTCAAGCCTTTGCACGCCCTTTTAAAAGTGGACCTTCTCTTAGGAAACTTAAAACAACTGCTGTTCATCTGGCACTTACTGAACATTTACTGTCCACTTAAATGCCTGGCACTGCCTGGGCACTGGGCAGGTTCCAAAGAGAACCAGTCTAGTGAGACATAATCAGCTAAGACCAGAGGAAGACACACACACTGGAGAGTGTTCTGCCTGACAAGTAGAGTAGAGGAAGATGCTAGAGACTCAGGCCACGTCAGGCTGTGCAGCCCAGAGTAAAGGACTCCCAATTTCATGGTGGGTCTCGGACCAGAGCTCAGCCTCACCGTATCCCCTTATACGGAAGAACCAGGTTGCCTTCTTTGTTCTCCTTTTAGACTCTCTTGAGGCCTCCTGTTTTCCTCCTGGGGTTCTTTTTCATGATCAACACAGGGGCTGGAGAGATGGCTCAGATGTTAAGAGAACTGGACAAATGAAGCCCTCTGTGGGCCAGTAACACGGCTCAGTGGTAAAAGGGCAGCTGCCGACCCTGGCCCACAGAGTAGAAGAGCCCAGACTTCTGCCAGCTGTCCCTCTATGCTCATGCAGCGGCATGTGCACACATAGATAAATAAATACATTGTCATCTAAAAATAAAAAGAAGCTCTTTTAGGGTCCCCCAACCACACCAAGAACATGACCCCAAGCCCTTTAGCCCAGGAATGGATAGCTCTAGCCAAGAGTAATTATCTTTTTGTATTTCCTTTGGTTTTTTGGCAGCATGATACATGGAACCCAGGGCATTACACTGAGCAAGTGCTGTACCCAAGCTACACCCCAGCCTGTGATAAAGTCCCTTCGAGGAGCAATTGTAAGCCCCTAGTCATTCATTTCTAAGCAGCTTGGCCACTCCCAGGGCAGTGCGAGGATTTATAGCAAGTGCCAAGGCCAGAGGAGTAAGTCCTGAACCTGATGAGGGCGAGGGAACAGCGTGTTTTACTGAGCATTGACTGCCTGCCAGGCGGCACAAGGCTTAACAATTTGGACTCTTCCTACCACCTCCTGACTTTTGGCTCTAGACCCTGCTCTTGCTATATGACGCTGCTCTGAGTTGATTCTCTCCTTCTGAAGGGCTTATCCCCTCTGTAATAACGCAAGGGAACCTCCCTGCCTCTCTCTACAAAGCATTAATGAAATCCAAGGAGCGATGAACCGCCAGGATGAGTGAACACGGCTGGCAGAGATCCTACCAGCACCTAGGAATGGGCTTTCCTTTCTTAAGGGATTAATCCTGCAATCCCACATCGACTACACACTCAATGCTTGCTATAACTAACAGCCGCCTTGAAGGGCTTAAGAAAAAACGAACAAAACACCAGCAGACATCGGGGAGTCCAGAACCCTCCCTAGCTTCAGTAGATGAGCTTTTTCAGAAATAAACTTACCTCCTCACATTGGTCTGATTCGATATTAAAAGGAGTTCACATCGTCCGAGTCTGCTCCAGTTGTGAACAACTTCCCATGGCAGGGTGGAGGACCAGGAGCATTACAAATAATGCCAAGGGAGACCTGCACACGGTTAAAGGTTGTCCGCAGCATTTTCTCAACGCCTAAGTAAACTTCTGAAATAACTGCATTGAAAACATTGCACTGCCAGGGTCCCCTCTGCTCCTCGTTGATGTCGCCTGCCTCACATGCCTCTGGCAGCTCCATCGCCACCCCTGTACCAGGCTTACCTGCTGGGCTGCCTCGTGGAAGAGTTCCTGTGGAGACCTCTGGGCCATTCTCCAGGAAGTGAGGTCCTGATTCTCTAGGTGGGGATCACTCTGTAAAGCAAATATCACTCTTGGTCAGGCTAGCTCCTCCCTCCCTTGCTGCTTCTCATCCGACCAGTGTTCCTCTGCACTAAGTAAGGCCCTGGGTGAGGTAGAAACCTTGTCCCGACTCCTCCCCAGTGGCCCCTTTGCTACCCCATGCATGGTCCAGAGTCTACTTGCTCATTGCCTGCTGTCCTGAAGCCACAGGAACCACTGCAATTCTCTGCTCCCCGAACTCCTGAAATGTGGGGGAACTGACTGTTCAGCTACCCTGCCCTTAAAGACACAGCCACACACTCCTTTCCCAGGGCCTTGGGAACGCTTGGTCCAGAGCAAAGGGCTTTGCGGTCTCGCCTGAGGGTGAGCGCAGGTGAAATGTACGCTACGCTAGGCAGAGCAGGCGGAAAGATGAGGGGAGAGTCCCCAGGAGCCTGGCCAGAACGGGGAGGGTGAGAAAGACAGGACAGCACAGCTCAGGTCCACCAGAGGAGTCGACCCTGGCCTTTCTCGGGGACCTTGTCCCATGACATTTGAAAGAAGAAAAGGGGGGAGGGAGAAGGGCTGAGGTGACCCTGCTCCCCATCCCACGGGAAGAAGATTCCAGAGACTCCAGCGAACGAGGGGAGAGAAAGTGGAGAAGATTCCTGTCAAGGGCTTGGTGTGGGACGCGTCACCCCAAGAAGAGCTGGGGGCTGCGGGGTGAGGCTCTGGGTCCCAGGGTCAGGTCCTCGCGACCCGGCCGCACTTGCCCTCCGCAGAGCGGCTCCCGAGTTCTCACCTGTTCCTGTCCGGGCTCCGGCGGCCACGCCAGCCCCACCCCGCCCCGCCACGTGGCCTCGCTGCGGGCCACCTGCCCTGCGCGCGCGTCCCCGCCCCAGCGCCCCCGCAGAGCTCCTGGACCTGAGACCCAGGCCCGAGCACCACCTGTCCTGAAGGGCAGCGGCTCAGCCAGGTGACAGCGAACTTACAGGGAATGGAGCCTCTACAGGCAAGAAAGCGCCGCAGAGAGGCAGGGGGATGACCCTCATCACCTTTGAACCGCCTTCCCTAGGGGTAAAATAAGGTTTCCAGGGCCTGGGGTTGTAGAGGGAGAGGGGAATTAACACACAGAGAGATTAAATTATCTCCATTTTCAATCTGGCATAGTTCCTGAACCTTAAATAACTTTCTAGGCTTCCATGTGGGCTTCTGAGAAACAGGAGGGCAGCTGGGAGTACTTCCCACGCCCACAAGCCTTTGTGTGAAACACCTAAAAATAGAGGCTGTTCTTTTAAAACAAAGGGGAAGGCAAAGCCCCGGGAACGCTGGCAGGGCCCTATCCTCCCTACTGCTCCAGCGAAGTTGTTCCTGCGAAAGTGTCTTACGTAAAGTTTGCCGTCTGATCCATTTTAACTGTACAGTTCAGGGTGGTTAATCTCGCTCACGGTGTTGCGCAACGACCCATCATCACTATCTCTAAAACTTTTTTAAGCATCCCATACAGAAAACGTACACTCCGCCGCCCCCATCCACTTAATATCTTTTTGTCTACTCTGGACACAGCTAGTCTGTAAATAGGATAGTACAATATTTCTCATTTTGCTCCTGGCTCATCACACTTGAGCACCAAGTCCCCAACGTCCGTTCGATGCTGTGTGCATCGGCACTTCACTGCAAAAAAAAAAAACAGGTTTTCATTTGTTTATGCAGCTTTGTTTTCATTCTCAGCTTCCCTAAGCTGGGAGTGGAATCCAGAGTTTTGTCCGGGCTAGGTTCTCTTTCACCCCTGAGCTTGCAGGGGAGTCTTAATAACAAGTCTCTGCAAGAAGCAAGCTCCCCCCCTCCCCTTCCCCCAGAATGAAGCGCAGATTGGCAGTCTGGGAGAGGAGGATGGCCAGCCGGCCAGGACGGCACATTGCAAGGCCAGCAAAGCCTTCTTCCTCGCTTGTTGGGTGGGCATGACACTTTTTTATTTTGACTAGGTTCCTGTTTGCTGCCAACTTTGGGGGAGCCTCCTTCTGAGAATCAGCCTGAACTATGGTGGGGGGATCCACATCCAAGTTCACATCAGCTTGAGTTAACCACAGGAGAAAGGGAAATGCAGCCCCTTCCTAACCACTACTTCCTGCGGTTAACCCTTTCTAATTAAATGAGCTTGCCAAGTGTCTTCTAAACCTTTGAACACATGTGTCTCTTTTTCATTTAAGGCTAAACAGAGAAACTCAGTTGTTCAAAAAGAGAAAGTAGGCTTGATGTCAACTTAATTTACAACCTAAAAAACAAAAAAACTTCCTGTGCCATGAAAATAGTATCTTACATACTCTTAGACTAAAACGTCTCCATTTCTAAGTTATCCCCCTGTGTGACCTCTAGAAGGGTGTCCATTGCATCGTTTCTTGTCATAGTTTCTGGTCATGAGACCCTAAAGGCAGAAGATGGGTTATTTCAGGGCAGAACCACATGAGGACGGCCAGTGTTTTATGTCAGGTGTTCTCTGTGTGCTGACACTGAGTCCTTCCCGTCACATAATGAGTAAAAACAGCAGGTTGCCTGACAGCGTGAGTGGCGTGCTATGATCCATACGTCTATAGGTGTGTCGTTGCACACACACACACCATCAGTCTGTTGTGCTTCTCTCTACAGATTGGAGCAGAGGTAGAGAAGTGGAGGAAATCAACTTTGATGGATACATCTCTGTTTTATTGATTTTTTTCCTTACAACAAATACATGTTACTTTAGAAGCTGAAGGGGAAATGAGTAAGAAAGCTAAAAAGAAAACTAATGTGGGGCTGACTCTATATTCCAAAGATGGCCGCACTAGTACATCCCCTCACATCTGGTTTTCTTAAAATAGGAAATGAGATTCCCTCAGGAGATGGATCTCCATTTGTTCTCATGACCTGTGTGGGCTTTTGCAAGTGCCTCGGCTGACAAAAGAAACAGAAGAAGCAACACTGTTCGGCTTCACAAGCTAAAAAGATAAAGGGCTTACCCTTGATCTTAGATGGCTTACCCACGATACAGGCCCAACATTGTGAGATGTGTATAGAGGTGTTCCGGCAACAGCCAGGATTAACCAAGTGTGAATGAAACAGGTCTATAAGCAATTCCAGCAGATGGGTCCCCATGTTGCAGAGAAAGCTGTGCCTCTTCTGAACTCCTGACTCACAGATGGAACAAGAGAGAGTGGCTGCTTTAAGCCAACAGACTTGTGAACAATTTGTCACATAGCAATAGACAGCAAATACATGGAGAATCCAACCATGATAAAAGTGAGCCCCCCCCATTTTCTTACCCATTTTTGTTGTTTGGATTCACTGTATTCCAACCCATAGCCAGTTGTGAAAAACTTAAGAGTTATTAAACTCTTTTTCATCAACTTAGTAACAATGCAAGCTCCAGCGAATGGACGCCATAGTGAGGCTGTTCCTCTATGCCTCTCACCCACCTGGGCTGCATGTAGAAGCCTGTTCACTTCTTTCCTCCCAGAGGTTGGTGCTGAGAGTTGCCCTCTGTATGAAGGCTGGCAGAGAAACCACGTCTTAGAACAGAGGGTTCTGAACCTGTGGGTCTTGACTGCTTTGGGGGTCGAACAACCTTTTCACAGGGGTCACCCAAGAACATTGGAAAACACAGGTATTTGCATTACGATTCATAACAGTAGCAGAATTACAGCTATGGAATAGCAACAAAGATGACAACATGAGGAACTGTATTAAAGGGTCACACCATCAGGAGGGTTGGGAGCCACTGTCTTAGAAGATAACCTCTTTTGTTGAAAGTCTGAAGCCGGGAAGGATCAGAGCTTGGGCAGAATAAAGCAAGAAGAAATGTGAAAACATAAAACAGTGATGTCAGGACAGCCGGCCTCCTCCAGCACCAGGGACTGAGGGCCTCAAGGAGGGGTTGGCAGGCTGGCATGCGCTTACTCCACAATCATCCAGGAGTGGGTTCAGGAAACACCCCTACCCGGGGACCTGCCCCATGGATTCCGACCTCATTACTTCACTGGTCTGAGATAGAGCTGGACACTGACATTTTCTTTAAACCCCTCAACTGCTAGTGGACAGCCATCTATGAAAGGATTTTCTAGCCCTACAGTTTTTGTCTTTATCCAAAATATCATCTCACAGGGGGGATGTCTTCCTCTAGGTACATTTTAAAAGGTTTAGTAGTTTTCATTTTCTGTAGGTGTGTGTCTATATGCGCATAGGTGCTCCAGGGCAGGTGGCCACAGAGGCCAGGGGTATCTGATGCCCTGGAACTAGAGTTACAGGCAGTTGGGAACCACCTGTGTGGTTGCTAGGAACTGAACTCATGTCCTTTGGAAGAGCAACAAATGTTCTACACAGTGAGCCATCTCTCCAGCCCTCTAATTGATACTTTAATGGCAAGAAAGAGTGTAACTATCCCTAAGAGAGGTAACATGCTATGTGGTAGTATACTATTTTTTTATTTTCGAGACAGGGTTTCTCTGTATTGTTTTGGAGGCTGTCCTGGAACTCACAGAGATCCGCCTGCCTCTGCCTTCTGAGTGCTGGGATTAAAGGTGTGCACCACCAATGCCAGGCGAGATATATTTTCCAAAGTTTAAAGTTTTGTTTATTTTTTTACATGTATTTATGAGTGCATGCATTCATGAATGCGTGTGCTTGTGGGTGTGAGTGTGAATATGTATGCGAGTACATCTGGAGGTCAGAGGTGCAGGGTCCCCTGAAGCTGAAGTTATAGGTTATTGCGGGCCACCTGACATGGGTGCTAGGAACCAAACTCAGGTCCTCTGCAGGAGCAGGACATGCTCTAACTGCTGAGCCATCTATCTAGTCCTGCATTTGTGGTGTTTTGTTTTGTTTTGTAGTCGGGGTCTTACTTTGTATGTCAGGTTGACCTAGAACTCAATATGTAGCTAGATTGACCTCAAAACTCTCAGCAGTTCTCCTGCCTTGGTTGGGATGACAGGTAGGCATCACCCTGCCTGGCTTCTTTCTGGATTTCAAATTGTGCTTCAAAGTCCCGAGTAAGCTCAAGGGAGGGACATCTGTCTTCTGACAGGGCATTCCGGGAAGTGGGACACAGGAGTAGAGGCAGGACCCTAGGGAAAACAGAATCCTGCCTGGCTTCCTGGGCGGGACTGAGTACAGAGCGCAGGGGCCCCTCCTCTCAGGTGTCCCCAGCTCCTGTCCAGCAGGTTTCTCATTCAGGATCTAAGGCATTTGTTGACTCTGGGAGTTTGTCTTGCAACAAGACTAGTATCAGCCACCTGCCACCTGTCACAGGCCAGGACCTGGAAGCTTGAAAAAACACACTTAGAGGTCCTGTTTGTTTTATGACGACAGTGGCAGCCTTTCCGGACTGCAACAGCACTGATTGGCATTCTATCTCCTTAAAGGTCACACAGGGAAGCCCTAATGGCAGACCTTTGAGAGTGCAGATGAGCAAACCAGGTCTGGACCAGAGCCTGGCTCTTTTTGCCATGACCGTGCCCAAGGTCTTCAATGTATTCCAGGCCCAGTCTCCTCACATCTTACACAGAGTTCACACGAAGACCCTCCAAGCCTACCTGCAAGAGTGATGGACCATTTTGCTGGGGACTGAAGGTCAGAGCAGTGGCCTGTTGTTTTTGTACCTCTACACTTCATTTTGAAAACCATACCACCTAATGCTGTCATCCCAGAACCCAAAACTCCTGGACACTGCACTTTGTACAGGATCTCTTTTCACCCTCATTAACTCAGGCACACCCACCAAATACCTGTGCATGGCCAA